GATGGTAAGATTTCTTTATTCAAGAAAGCACCAGGGCAAAACGCAGGCCAGAGCAAGGTCACAGGAACCCAGCTAGCGAGGCCAGCGAGAATGGGCTAGGGTCTCCGCGTGCAGCCATTAAGAAGCTCCCCTATGTCACCCCGGCTTTCCTTCACCACGCCCTTATGGGTGAGTCCCGGGTCCACCTGGCACCTGTCCCGGGACTATTGGGCGGGGCTAGGGTGTCTCCCTACAATTCCCCTTTTAGTCTAAAAGAGGATTAAAACTTAATAGTGTAAAATATCCAAAACTAACAATCATAAGGGTGAAATACAAGAAGATACAATAATCTGCTATGGCACATCCTATGTCTATCCCAGCTAAGTCTTAAAGTCATGTGGACAGCTTCACAGTCATCACTATTAAAACACAGGGATCAATGAGCAGTCAGTCTGAACATAACTGAGGTCCAGAAATAGAGCCCAAAACAGAGAGCATGCGTGCTGTAGGAGGAAGCTCAGTGTGGCACAGAAAGCACAAAGCATTTCATAAACAGTTACATGGAAATGAGCTGGCTTGTTTTAGAGACTTAAAGATGCCGGGTGTTGGTGGCGCATGCCTTTAATCCCAGCACTTGGGAGGCAGAGGCAGGTGGATCTCTGTGAGTTCGAGGCCAGCCTGGTCTCCAGAGTGAGTGCCAGGATAGGCTCCAAAGCTACACAGAGAAACCCTGTCTCAAAAAAAAAAAAAAAAAAAGAGAGAGAGAGACTTAAAGATATTAGTCCTCAACTTCTTACTGCATTTTAAAGTCCCTTCAGAGAGATCGTAAATAATTGTGACCTATAAAACTGTGGAGTGAAAAGAAGCAAATATAAAAATATAGTGTTTTGTGATCTGGGAGTAAAGAAAAGTAGAAAACTCAAAACCATGACTCTAAGTGGAGAAACGTGGATCCAGCTTAATCATTCTGAAGAAAGACACTTCTGTTTTTTGAGAAAAAAACACAGACCAAATTGTCAAATAAGAAAAAAATAAGTAAAAAGAATACATTTAAAAATTCCATGGCTGAAAAATGAAACGAAACAAGAAAAAAGCCCAGTAAGAAAGTCATGATCAACCACATGTTAGCAGAGAGCATCAAACTTGTAAGAGATGCCTGGTCACATGCTAGTGGCATGTATCTAAAAAAGTGACAACCAGACGACAAATGTCCCCTTGATGTCACCCCACAGATCATCAGAGGCAGACAGACTCTATAAAGAAAGAGCAGAGAGGAAGGAGTGCCCCTCCAGCTGCTAACTGGGAAGCAATCATAAAGTTTAGTGAACTTCAGATTCCCTCTGACCCCGACTCTCCCATTCCTGCCACCTGTCCTGTAGAAACTGTCCCCGTACAGAGAAAACCATGCATGAGGGTCTGTGACAGCACAGGCACTACCTTCTCCGGGGAGCTTAGTAAGCGGCTCTCAGAGAGTGTGCATGACACACAGACACTGGATAACCAAGCAGGAAACAGTCCCATCTCAAAACCACATCTTTGGAGCTAGAGAGATGGCTCAGGAGGTGCAGTGCAAGCATGAGGACCCGAGTTTGGGTCCCCAGAACCCACTTTAAGCCAGAGATGCTGCATACACCTGGAATCTCACCCAGTTTCCCTGAGGCAAGATGGGATGTGGAGGCAAGGGAACTCCTGAAAGGCCATGGGCCAGCTAGCTTGGTGGTCACAGAGGTAAACAGCCAGTGACCCTTCTCAAGCAATGTGGAAGGCGAGGACTGGCACATGAAGTTGACCTCTGACCTCTATACATACATGCCAAGTATATGCCCACACTCACAGTCGAACATAACCACACTACATAATATACACATTAAGTTTGCAAACTTCTAAAAACCACAAACACATGATAGGTGTTTTCTCAGAGAAGGTGTATGTTTAAAAGAAAAATACCCTTCATGGAAGACGAGCAGAGAAGTCGCTTCATCACTATGCTCCATACTTGGGGGCATGGCTGCCCCTTAGAGACAGATGCTTCAAAAGTGCCAAGGGCTGTGTATGTGGGCATCTCAGTCCAGGCCCCTGAATCACACCAGGTGACCCCTACACTGTCATCTGTCCCCAAACACAGTCTAACCAAACACTCACTCTGGTTCCATTCCCAAACATCACTGATCTAATTCTGTCAAGTAACTCTACCTTACTTTTTGTTTTTACTGGATAAGAGGTTTTAAAATAACAACCCTGGCATTTGCTCAATGGTTAATTTGATTAAATTGCACTTACTGAACTTGGCAATTATTGGACTATGCCCAGGGTAAAGTCAAATACACTTATTGATTGGCAGATGGGCAAGTCAGAGGAACCACAGAATCACTCAGACAGAATTGGACTACCAGCTCAGTGTCAGGAGGCTGTGCCTCTCTGACCAGGAATATATGAAGCTAATTAATGGGGGTTGCCTGCTGCCCAGGACATTTTCTAGCCTATTGGAAAGCTTGGGGGTTCCAGTTTGGGAATTACTTGGATTAAATATTGAAAATCCAGTAAGCTTTAACTTCCATGATCACTATGAATATTTTAGGAAGGAATGATGCTTCCTATATTGCTTGTCTCTAGGTAAGGGGCTAATATGCAGTACCTGCCACCTAGTTGTGTGTGCCTGTGTCTATATACTTGTGAGTGTGCCTGTGTGTGTGTGTGTGTGCCTGTGTCTATATACTTGTGAGTGTGCCTGTGTGTGTGTGTGTGTGCCTGTGTCTATATACTTGTGAGTGTGCCTGTGTGTGTGTGTCTGTGTGTCTGTGTATCTGTGCCTGTGTGTCTCTCTGTGTGTATTTGCACTCATGTGTGCAGAAGAGGGTCTCAGAGCCCCTGAGGCTAGAGTTACAGCAGTTATATGACATCTGATGTGTGTGTGCTGGGAATCGAACTCAGGTCCTCTGTAGGAACAACAAGTACTCTTAACCACTCAGCCATCTCTCCAGTCTCCAAAAGTGTTATTTTTCTAAGTCTTTCCTTCACAGTCATCTTTGTATTTTATATTTTAAGTTTCACTTCCAAATGGAGGTTCTTTTTCTATAGAATATAAAACACAGATAACTTTTTAAAGGTCCACACAGTAAGTCAATGTTTCCCTGTTTCTTCATTGTGTGTGTGTCTGTGTGTGTGTCTGTGTGTGTGTGTGTGTATGTATGTGTGTATATATGTGTGTGTATGTGTGTATGTGTGTGTGTGCCTCTGTGTGCGTGTATATATGTGTGTATATATGTGTGTGTATATGTGTGTATAAGTGTGTGTACGTGTGTGTGTGCCTCTGTGTGTGTGTGTGTATGTGTGTGTGTGTGTGTCTCTGTGTGCGTGTATATATGTGTGTATATGTGTGTGTATGTGTATGTATGTGTGTATATGTGTGTGTATGTGTATGTGCATGTATATGTGTGTGTATATGTGTGTATGTGTGTGTGTCTCTGTGTGCGTGTATATATGTGTGTGTATATGTGTGTGTGTGTGTATGTGTGTATAAGTGTGTGTATGTGTGTGTGTGTATGCCTGCCTGTGGGGGGGGGAGCATGGTATGAACATGGTACCGTGTGCAAGTGCAGTTAGAGGAACCCTCGAGCGTCAGTTCTCATCTTCTGCCTGGTCTGAGACTTGTTGGGATCTCTCATTGTTCACAACTACACACATCTCACCAGCCTCAGGGACGCTTCTGGCCTCTGCCTTTGTGCTGCATTGCTTTCTGTCAACTTGACACAAGCTACAGCTATGGGAAGGAAGGAACTCCAATTGAGAAAGGCCTCCGTAAGATCCGGCTGTAAGTCATTTTCTCAATTGTAATCCATGGGGGAGGGCCCAGCCCATGGTGGGTGGTCAATCCCTGGACAGGTGGTCCTGGGTTCCATAAGAAAGCAGGATGAGCAAGACATGAGGAGCAAGCCAGTAAGCAGCACCCCTCTATGGCCTCTGCATCAGCTCCTGCCTCCAGGTCCCTGCCCTGTGTGAGTTCCTGTCCTGACTTCTTTGATGATGAGCAGTGCTGTGTAAGTGTGAGTTGAATAGACTCCTCCCTCCCTAAGTTTCTTTGGCCATGGTGTTTCATCACAGCAAATGTAGCCATAACTAAGGCAGCCTCCCATCTCACTGTGAGGGCTTTAGGGTTACAGATGCTACCATGTCTGGTGTTTATGTGGATCCTAGAGACTAAGACTCAGGTCTTCAAGCTGGTGTGCTGTAGGCGTCTGAATGAAAAAACGTCCTCCACAGGCCCATGTACTTGAACATCTGCTGATGCTGCTTGGGGAGGTTATGGAACCTTGGGGGGGGGGTTCAGCCTCACTGAGGAAGTGCGTCACTGGGAGCCTACCCTCAGCCCACTTCCAGTTCACTCCCCCTGTGTCCTGTTGTGTGGACAAAACGTGACCAGCCAGCTTCCCACTGCAGCTGCCATGCCATCTCCGCCATCACGGACTCTCCCTCTAGAACTGTGAGACAAAATAAGCCTCCCTTCAGTTGACTTTGGCCATGGTATTTTATCACAGCAATAGAAAAGTGACGAATACCCACTGAGCCATTATCTTTTAACAGAAGACTTACTTTTAAACTTTTAATTATCAGTGTGTATGTACACACATGAGCATGGGTGCCTGTGGAGGCTGGAAGAGAGCAGAGGATTCCCCAAAGCTGGTGTTAGAGAGGGTTGTGCACCACCAAATGTGGGTGCTGGGAACCAAACACAGGTCCTCTGTAGGAACAGTAGAACTCTAAACCACTGAGCCACCATCCCCGGCCACATTTCTTTATCCTAAAGGGCATGAAGCCCAAAGCTTTTAGCCTGGGCTTTGATAACTTTCCAAGTTTTATAACTTGCACAGATCACTAACACTTGTCACCAAAGTCTCCTGTCACTGAAAGGTACTTGTAGATAGAAGCGGCAGTGTGGATGTGGTCCCATGCAAGCCTAGTAGAAGATAGCCATGGTTTAAGGTAGTCATGAGCCTATTGGAAGGTTCCTGCTTATGCCTCACCGTGCCTTCCGGGTCCACTAGCAGCAGGTGCTTGGCCTGGCCATTGTGCATGCCCGTGAGGACAAAGGAACCAGGGTTGGTAGTACTCTTTCTGACTAGGAAGTCTCCATCTTCCTGCAGCAGTGCCTCTGCCTCCTTCCTGCTCATCTCTCCTTGGTACCAGGGCTCAGCATCCAGCTCCTCCAGCGTCTTGGCATCTGGGGCTCTGGGTGAGACGGGGCTGATGCACTCCACAGATGCTGCTTTGCTCAGCACGGGCCCCAGGGGCTGGTTCTTGAGAGCATCTTCAAAAGGCTCTGTCAACAGCATATGACAGCAACAAATCAATCCCCGGAAGAGTGAGCAATAAAAATAGAGTGAGAGATGAGAATTAAAATGTAACTCTTGACGAAGGCTGGCAACAGAGACGGATAGTCGGAACCATAATTTAAATGCACCGCCCAAATTTTGGCATGACTCTCTGGTGAGTCTACTTCCCAGACAGCTGGGGGTTGTGCCTGGTGCACATGCTTTGTCTAGCTGGAGAGAAGGATTTCAATGTTGCACACTGCAAGGAGGCAGGTACAACTTGTCATTTCACACCACCTACCTTCTCTGAACCGTTATCCAGCCTCCTTAAGAAAGTTGTGCCTTCCTACCTTGCCCCTTGCCACCTGTAATATTCAGGAGAATGAGCCCTGCACCTCATCTGGGCAACGCAGTAGAGCTGATCCTGTTGACAGGGGCGCTGGTGAGTGGCCAAGAATGTGAGCATGGAAGATCTGGTCCTGCCCCTCATCAGCCATAACATGGAGTGGGCAAGGGAGAGATGCCACCCCTGGCCCCTTGCCACCTGTAGCAGGTGGGAGTTCTGGCCCTGATGTCATGAGATCTGGAGAGCTGGCCCTGCCCCCACCAGCTACAGCACTCGGGAGAGTGGACACTGCACCTCACCTGGCCAACATAGTAGAGCTGGCCCTGGTGGTGTAGGTGTGGGTGAGTCGACCCTGAGGGCCTGAAAGCAGGAGAAATGGCCCTGCCCATTGCCCCTTGCTACATAGGGTGAACCAGCTGGAGCAATGCTGGAGAGCTCACCTTGGTGGTGAGGAGGGGGGACATCTGCAACCACCTAGGCCCAGAACTGGGGCTATGAGTTTGCCCACCCCCAAATCCACCCCAGCTATGATCTGCTGGAGCACATGAAGGGGTAGGTCCTACAGACCGGAAGCTGCAACAACAGGGTATCCAGGAGGAGTCCCCGGGAGGGCCCAGCATCAATAGTGTAGCAGAAACCAGAGTCCTCGAACCAGACCAGTGACTTTTTGTAATAAACACTTGAAAGCAAAGATAAATAAACTAAATGGTATACTGTGTGACTCACTGTACCACCCTGCAGCTTCTACAATGAGATTTCCCTTTTTCTCTTTTCTACCTTTTTCTCTTAAATCTTACTTTATTTTAGGGGGAGGTTACAAGGGAGAGGAAGGATATTAAGGGATGGGGAGATGAAGGGTATCAAGATACATGGTGTGTAAGCCACAAAGAATAAAAAGTTAAAAAAGAAGACAAAAACCCTGTATACAAACCTGTCAATACCAAAGGAAAAACATGCCATGAAACTCTGATTCCATGAAAACCCCCAATGCATCACAGATTTCCTTCAAAACCCCCAGCGCCCCTTGTGGACTTGCTCCAGGATAGGAGTTCTACTTTGCCTTGACCTTCACTGGTATCTGAGTCTTGACATCACACTTGGCTTAATCTGCTCTGGAACAGACTTCTTGCTGTATAGCATGCCAGCAAATGCTCAGACCACTGTGAGTACCAGCATATATTGGTGGCAAAAGAATTCACTAAGTACATCTAATCAAATGCCAGTGTGTGATTTTCCAGGCAACAGGGGCATGGTGAAAGCACTGAAAAAAGGTGTGCAGTATTGGGTCAACATTGTGAATTTAGAATCAGTGCAAGCACAACAAGAACTGGAGTGTTCTCTCTTAAACAAAGCTCCATCCCAGAGTCCCATGTTGTTTCTGGGATACCCATCAGAACTCTACAACTACTCAGTGAATAATGTCAAATAAGCCAAATCTGGTAGAAGTTAAGAAAGGATGGGGGAAAAAAAGGAGGGCATATCAAAGTAAAATGAGATCTTTTTTGAGAATCACTAAATCTTTTACAAATGTGGGGAAGAAAAGTGATTTTAAAACCATTGGATAAAAGCTAAAATGATAATTTTTGGTATTCTCTCTCTCTTTGCGTGTGTGTGTGTGTGTGTGTGTGTGTGTGTGTGTGTGCATACATGTGCAGACCAGAGATTGCTTTGGTTCTGGGTGTCTTCTTCAGTTGCTCTCCACCTTATCCTTTGAGCCAGAGTTCCTCACTGAACCTGGAGCTCCATTGGGCTGGCCACCTAGTCCTAGGCATGCTCTTGTCTCTGCCTTCCAGGGCTAAGATTATAGATGTGTGCAGCAGCACTTGGCCTTTTTACATGGGTTCTAGAGTATCGAACTCAGGTCACTGTACTTGTGCAACAAGCACATTACCAACAGAATCACCCCCCACCCCATTCCTGGGTTTTCCTTGTACCCTACTTTTAAAAATCTGGTTCTGTGGAGTACTAAAAATCTGTACTCTGCTCAGTTTCTGTGTCATCACCACCTTGCTATCTCCACCATCAGCCATCATCACTATCATTACCAACACTGGCACACTGCCCATTACCACCACAGACATTAACATCACTAGCAGCATCACCACCGTTATTGACATCACCACCACCCTCATCACTAACATCACCAGCATCAGCACCACCATCATAACTGACATCAGCAGTATCATCACTAGCATCACTAACATCACCAGCATCCAGCACCACCATCATACTAACATCAGCAGTATCATCACTAAGACTACCCTCATCACTAACATCACCAACATCAGCACCACCATCATAACTAACATCAGCAGTATCATCACTAAGACTACCAGCATCACTAACATCACCAGCATCAACACCACCATCATAACTGACATCAGCAGTATCATCACTAAGACTACCCTCATCACTAACATCACCAGCATCAGCACCACCATCATAACTAACATCAGCAGTATCATCACTAAGACTACCCTCATCACTAACATCACCAGCATCAGCACCACCTCCCTAATCACTTATATCACCAGCAGCATCACCCTCATCACTAACATAGCCAGTATCACCACCACTATCATCATTAGCATCACCACCTCTATCATCAATAGCATTGCCACCGCTACTACTATTTAGCAACAGTGTTTCAGGATATACAGACTTAACGTCCATACTTCTAAACAGACAGTGATTTTTTTGACCTGTTGTCTACTTTCTAGTGTCACTTCCCTTATTTTGAGAACAAGAATAGAAATTAATGGGTGGGAGTAAGAGGGCTCTAGACTTCATTTTCCTCAAAGCTCGGCCAAGGCTCTCTTTAGGCTCTCTAGCCAAAGTCACTGGTAAACTGACTAAATTAAACAGTTAAAACAGTCTGCCCATCCCCAAAACCTCCAGCCTGAAGTTGAGAGACACTATAAGAACTCTAGCAGAAGTTAGGTATAGTGGCACATGCCTGTAATTTCCAGCACTAGAGAGGCTAAAGCAAGAGGGCTGCTGAGAGTTCAAGACCAGCCTTAGCTATAGAGTGAGTACCACGCTAACCAGGGCTACAGAGAAATAACTTGTTTTAAAGTAAAACAAAATAAAAAACAAACAATGAAATACAGAAACCCTGAAGCCTAAGCTGAAGACACTGCTTGGAAAACAACCCTACACTTCTTGGTCTGTTTTCAATTTTTTTTAATGAAAAGAATGGATTATGTGATCCATAATTTACCTCCAAGCCCTGCCCCTCAACAGTGTTTGGTGGGAGTTCTGCATGTATGTGAAGCCACAGTGGACCAGGAGAAACTAATTGCAGAAGCTGCAATGTTGCCTCATCAAAAAAGTGCCGGGGTCTATCCTCACCCTCACAAGACACTGGGAACATCAGTGATGGATTGGCAGGGCTGCCTTTGGCACGGGTCCGGGTTATTTAGCCACTACTACTTTCCTTTTCCTTCTCCGCAGAGTAGGGGTGGTGATAGTAAGAACCAAATCTCCCTGTGCATAAATCAGGTAGTAAGTGCCCAGCAAGTGGCAGTCAGGGTCGGTTCTTCCCAACCCTCTTCCATCTATCAACTTCTCAAAGGATTAAAGCCAGAGAGTTTAAGATATGGGGCTGGGAGATTAGCTCAGCTGGTAAAGTATCTGCCTCCCAAGCACAAGGGCATGGGTTTGATCCCCAGAACCTATGTCAGGCCCATGAGGCTAGAGAGATAACTCAGTGGTTAAGAGTAATTGCTGCTCTTGTCGGGGACCTGGATTCAGTTACCAACCCACACGATGGCTCACAACCTCCTTCAATTTCATTTCCATGGGATCTGACACCCTCTTCTGATCTCCACAGCCACCAGGCATGCATGCGGTACAGGCAAAAACACTCAAGACACATAAACATAAAAAAAAGAGGCATGCAGGTGTGTGCTTGCAATCCCAGCAATGAGGAGGTTATGTGGACAGGCAGAGCTACTGGCCAATCAGGCTAATCTAGCTAGCAAGTTCCAGGCCAAGTGAGCGGCCTTGTTTCAAAAACAAGAGAAATGGCTCTTGTGGAGTGACACTCAAGGTTAGCCTATGGTCTACACATACACACACAGGCACACAGGCACACAGGCACACAGGCACACTCACACAAGCACAGCCACCCACATACATAAAGTCCTCTCTCTCCCTCCCTCTCTCTCCCTCCCTCCCTCTCTGTCTCTCTTCTCTCTCTCTCTTTTTCTCTCCATATGTATGTGCATGTATGTATGTATGTATGTATGTATGTATGTATGTATGTATGTTTATATTCATGAGCTTCCAAAACACTTTCCAAGTTCCTTAACAATTTCTACTCATAGCATTTCAGTTCCTGAAGGGCACGTCTGTCTGTCACTGTATATCAAAGAGCAAGTCCACATGACAATGTCAGCTGATACTGTCAAGTCCGGTGGGTTCCTACCTTTCCCTTCATCCTGCTGTACAGCTCACTGCTGAGCCGGCCTCACCCCCTGAATGCATGGGATTGGTTGTTTAAACCCCACCAGAGTAAGGCCATCTGTTTCAGTGCTCCCGAATCTCTTCAGTAATTGGAAAAATGTTTGACACATGGTGAGCACTGGATAAATGCTGGAGGAGGTCGGGAGGAAGAATGAGAGGGGAAATGAGAGCCATTAAATGGATGGGGTAGGGAGGGAAGGGCAAGCAGAGAGGGAGTGGGGAGAGAAGGGGAGGACTGACAGGAAGGAGGAAAGGAGAAAGGGAGGGAGGGGAGGGAAGGAGGGAGGGAAGGAGAGGTGACAGAGAGAAGACACTGTAAACAAGGTATATAGCCATTTCTCATCTGAATGCCCTTGCTGATAGACTGAGCTCTCTGACCATGGTCGAGTCATCTCTATATCCTCTAAAATCATACAACAATTAGCACAACCAATTGATATGCAAATGAACATGTATATTTGTGTCTTCAAGAGGAAAACCAGTTTCCCTAAGAGAGAGGATGTGTAACCCCCAACATCTTACTTGAACCCAATCAAAGTCCAGCAGAAAATCCAGTAGTGATACGGATATCAGATAAAAAGCAGCGTAGAGAGAGCATGGACACCTACTCATGTCAAAGAGGTCCTTGCGTGGGCTGCTCTCGGTGCTGCTGCTTGCTGTGGGCCAAACATGGGGAGGGACTGGCTGAGTGTTGACATAGGTTGGTGTCTCTCCTACTAGAGCCATGTGCGCTTTCCCTTCTGGAGTGCTGTAGATATCCAAGGAACCTGCACCAAAAAAGTGAGCCCTGTTACCTCTTAAGATGGCAACACTGTTCCAGCCTTTGTGACTGGGTTACCCAGAATTCCACAGAGCAGCTCCTCAAGCTTGCAGGTGAGAACATTTACTCATGGTTAATTCTCTCTAAGCCTGTCAGTACCAGCTCTCAGGTAAGATCTTTCCAGTCCTTCATGGCAAAAAAATAAAAAGAAGAATCTGCCGGCCTGGGTGGGCACTGGTGGTTAAAAGCCTTGCCCAATATGGCCCACCATGTTGGTGTTCTAGGACCCTGGGAGCTGAGCATTGATTAACACTGCCTCAATGTGACCTCCCAGTGAGCCAAAGGAGTGCTGAGGCTGGGCCTGGGGGTCTCAGCTGTCTTGTCACCTACAGGTAATGTGGAAAGTGATGCCCAAGAACACCTGTTTGGGTCACTCTTTCAGTGTATGACCATCTCTGCTTCACTTGTGTAGCAGAAACCTTGTTAATGTTCCTTTAGAAAGGTTGGCTACTGGCAAATAGATGAATAAATTCTTGTTTGTTCTGGGAGAACGTATCTACTGGTTTCAAATAAGATCTTGAAGCCAAGTGAGTTGACTCATGCTTGTCATCCAGTTCTCAGAAGGCTACAGCAGGAGGATCACTGCAAGCCCAAGGCCAGTCCAAATTATACAGCAAGACGACTTTGCATCACCAAACACTAAAAGAAACTTAAAAACCAAAAGAGAAATCACATATGAGGCTAGGACATATTGAGCTATGGAGTCTCCGGTGCCTGTCCAATGTTCATTTTCCTGATGTCTCCAGGGACTCTCGCTCCTGCTCACAGGATTCGGAAAGGCCACAGTCAGTGCATCACGTGGTGGGTGTTCTTACCTTGCCTGGTGGGTGCTCGCTGCCAGTCTTCACCAAATGTGTCTCCTAAGTGTCTTCCCTGGTAATAAGTTTGCTCTTTCCCTGCAAACTAGAGACATATGTCAATACTCAGAAAGAAGGAAGTATCTTCTCATTCCTCATCTTTGTGAGCTACGGTATAGTGGGTGGGGCTTCTGGGGGTTGATGCATCCTCTCTGACACCCACCTTTCCATTCCTGCCTCACAGTGGCATTGTATTGACAGATAAGCGTGCATGGTTGTAAAAAAAAAAAAAAAATCCAGTCTCATTAATGCTACAACCCTCTCCTTGTTTTCATGATCCCCTTAATTCCTCCAGAGAGAAGATCTTGTCCCAGCAGCCATCCACTCTCAGAGAAGCACACTCCCTGAGAACCAGGAAGCTCCAGTGTTGGAGTCTTGGTGTCAGTGCTGTCCTAAAATTTTTATTGGCACCAATAACCTTATTATATCCTTATTATGTCACTCAGCTCAACAAGCATATGACCACAAAGGAGAGGGAAAAAATCTTTTAAGCTTCCATAAAAGATGGAGATATAATAGTGTTAGGAAGCAATTTTGAGTTAAAGAGTGTTTGAGTTGGACAGCTAGATGGTTTGTTTTAATTGACAGCTGAACACATCCTAGGAAGAGAGTCTCAATGAGGGATTGTCCACATTCGGTTGGTCTGTGGGAATGCTAACAGGGGGTTTGGCCTTTTAAGTAAGTTAAGGTGGAAAGTCCAGGCCACTGAATGCTGCACCACTTCCTAGGCAGAGAGACCTGAGCTGAGTAAGAGTGGAGGGAGCGAGCTGAGCACAAGCAAGCATGGGAGAATTTGCACACATCTCATCTCTCTGCTCTTGACTATGCTTCTGACGTGACTTGTTGCTTCAGGCTCCTGCCCTGGGACTTCCCCACAGTGTTGGACTATAACCTGGTACTAGAAGCTAGCATAAGTACTTTGTCTCCTCAGTCAGTTAGCATCAGGGTATTTTATCATAGCAACAGAAATGAAACTAGAACAGAGTGGTGGATAAACAAAATAGGAAAAAAATGCACAACATTCCCACACCTTCAGGGGCGGGTCCACTCTTTTCAGGGAACCCACATTATCATGGGCCTTTTAAAAGCCTGGAATCCTGCCATCCCCTCGTTAAGACCACAGCATGGTGGAATTGGCGCTAAGACTTAGGTTACTTTCACTCCTGTCTCAGATGTGGCACGGTGGTTTTGAGGCACTTGGTCAGTGCACTGCAATGTCAAACCGAACCCCCTGCTTGCCATGTGCTTTGTGACATCAGTGGGAAAAAGCCTGTGAAGGATTGTGTCAAAAGCTAAGTGGAAAACCAGCCAGAAATAACACTGAAGAAGATAAATGTAAATGGGGTTTCATCTTTAACCCAAGAAGAGAACCCCAAACTTACCTGAGCTGCATCAGGACCATGGGGTCTGGCTTTCAATCGAGCATCAAGAAATCCCCCTGGAGGAGGCATCTTGCTGGGGACACTGTTGTAGTATGGGTGATCAGGGCCATCTCCCTCCTCTTCAGTCCAAGGCTCATCTAGACTCTGCATTCTGTTAAAAAGATTTTCAGTGAAAAAAAGAAAAAGAAAAAAGAAAGAAGAAGAAAAAGAAAAACGGCCGGACGTTGGTGGTGCACGCCTTTAATCCCAGCACTTGGGAGGCAGAGGCAGGCGGATCTCTGTGAGTTTGAGGCCAGCCTGGTCTCCAGAGCAAGTGTCAGGATAGGCTCCAAAGCTACACAGAGAAACCCTGTCTCAAAAAAGAAAAAAAAAAAAAAGATTTTCAGTGACTGTGACCAGAATTGAGCACACAGGCCGACCTAATCACTCTGACATCAGTGCAGCTATAGAAACAAAACACTGCATATCGTTTAAGTGTGGCCTCTAACACACATGGGTTCATGTGTTGGAGGCTTGATCCCCAAGGTGGTAGTGTTAAAAGGTGGCAGAACATTTAAGAAGTGGAGTCTCTGGGCCACAAGTGAGACGTCTACATCAATCCAGCAGTCATGACCCTCCCGTCCCCCCAAAACTTAGGGACCATTGCAAAAGAGCAGGGTAGAAAGATTGTAAGCCCCAAAGTTTAGGGAGGTCCAGAGCAAACCAATGTCTCCTGCACAAGACAGGGCCACCACACTCATGAACTCACAACACATTGTAGTTAACCTGGACAAGATCAAGCCAGTAAACATTTTAGCATGGTGTATGTATGTGGGGCTGGGCACTGAGCAGCCACTGACAGTTGATGGCTTCTGGGGAGGAACCCTCATTTTTTATGGGTGTGGCCCCTGGCAGGTTGCCTGTGTTCTAGTGGATGCCCCCATACCCATGAGCTCATGGTCAACACAACCCGAAATCATCAGGTTGTTTTAAAAGATAAAACAGAGGACAGGGAGTTGGAAGGGGTGGGGAGTGGATCTGAAGGAGGCTGGAGAGTACAGGAGTGAATATGTTCAAAATACATGATGTGTGACTCTCAATGGATTAATAAAATATTATACGAAAAGTGTGATATAAGAAACAAGTGGAGGGCTGGAGAGTTGGCTCAGAGGTTAAGAGCACTGACTGCTCTTCCAGAGGTCCTGAGTTCAATTCCCAACAACCACATGGTGGCTCACAACCATCCATTATGAGATCTGGTGCCCTCTTCTGGTATGCAGATATACATGGAAGCAGAATGTTGTATACATAATAAATAAAATCTTAAAAAAAAAAAGAAAGAAAGAAAGAAGTGGAGCCTTATGGAAGAACCATAAGCCATTAAGGACATGCCCTTAGGAAGAATCGTGGACCTGGGGGCTCTCTGGCTTCCTGTTTTAAGAAGTAACCTCCTCTTTGTTCTTGGGCACTTACACCATGATGAAATGCGTCCAAGAGGCCCTTGGTACAGCTGAACACACGCCAGCACTGTGTACTTTGCTTCTAAAGGAATGAGCTACATAGACCTCTTTTCTTCATAAGGTCAGCCTGCCCCAGGTATTTTATTATTTTATATTTCTATATGTCCATTTCTATATATTGAGATGGGGTTTCCTGTATCCTAGGATTCTCTTGAGCTCCATATGTAGCCAAGGATGACCTTGAACTTCTGATTCTTTGCTTCCACATCCAAGTACCTAATTTATAAGCATAGGAAGTCACGCCCAGTTTATATGGTGCTGCAGATAGAACCCAGGACCTCTTAGGCACTTTTCCAATGGTATTACACCAAAGAGCTTGCTGTACTACTGAAAAATGGATGAATACTGTACCCATTACTAAGAAAGAAATTAGTCACCATTTCCTCAGCCATCTACATCTTGGGCATCTATAAAAATGAGGTGAGAGGTTGGACTAAATCTGTCTTATTCAGAGATCTACTTATTGGATTATGTTAAGGAAATAATCACCTTTTATTGGAAAATAAAAAAATTATACAAAGAACACCAAAGCGTTAATATACATGTATACATTTCAGTAAGCCATGAAACTTAAATGAAGATTGCCTCACAAAAAATACCAGAGTGTGGACCTCTGAATTATGTTTCATATACTCAAAACTGGCCAGAGATTTTTGTTGGTCTGACTCAACCTTTCCAGAACTGTGGAATTAATCAGAAGCTTGCAGCAACCCAGGGGGTATAAAAACAAAAACAAACACAACAAAAGCCCTGAAGACTGGGAAAGAGCCCAGTGGATAAGAGTGCTACCACATAAGTAAGAGGACATGATTTTTGATCCTGAGCATTCCTCTAAATAGCTAAGCGTTACTGCATGCACCTGAAACTCCCACACCTGAGGTAGGGGGTGAAAGACAGGGGCATTGATGGAGCCTTCTGGTCACCAGCCTAGCTGGAAAACAGTGATCTCCAGGTTCAGTGAGAGATCCTGCCTCAAGGGAATAAAGTAGAGAGAGGTAGAAGATGACACCTGAAGTCTTCTTCTGGGTTCTGGCATGTGTGCTCATGAGTACACACACACACACACACACACACACACACACACACACACACTGAGGTTAATGTTAACTGTCATTGATTGTACCTGTGATCACCTCAGAGATGGTCCCTTGGGAATTTTCATGGGGCATTATCTTGATTGTGGTTTGATTAAGGCAGGAAGACCTGCCCACTTGAAAGTAGGACTATTCCCTGGGCAGTGGGATCCTGGACTGTGTAAGATGGAGAAAGCAACCTGAGCACTGACATCTGTGCATTGCTCTCTTATTCTTGTATGTGACCAGTTGCCTCTGCTTCCCTGCCATGGTAACTGTACCTTGAGCTGTGAACCAGAAAACAACTTTCTTCCTTAGGTTGCTTTTGTTAGGGTATTTCAGCACAGCAACAGAAAAAAAACCAAGAAAAACACCCACACACATATAATACACACAACTAAAACATAAACATTTTCAAACAAAGAAATGAACTGTAAGATGAGTGTTGTTGTGGCATCTTAAATGGTCTTGTTTGCATTCCTGTGATAGCCATGTAAGCTAACAGCTATCAATCAATGACAATCATCACCCAAGTAACCACAGAATGGAACAGGAAGGTTCTGAGCCTCTTTCAAAAGCCAGTTCCCAAAAATTTATCATTAGTTTCCCTGTCTGTGGTAGTATCAAAGAAAATGGCCCCCAAAGGAAGTGGAAAGATTAGGAGGTGTGGCCTTGTTAGAGGAAGCGTGTCACTGTAAGGGCGGGCTTTGAGGTCTCTTTTTCTCAAGCTCTCCTCAGTGTAACAATCAGTCTACTTCCTGTTGCCTGCAAGATTTAGGCCTGTCAGCTCCAGCACCACATGGGCCTGCAGGCAGCCATGCCCCCTGCCATGATGATAATGGACTGAATCTCTGTAAGCAAGCCACTCCAATTAAACGTTTCTTTATAAGAGTTGCTGTGGTCATGGTGTCTCTTCACAGCAATAAAAACCCAAACTAAGACACTGTCTGAGCGTTCCTTCCTTTGTGCGCCCAATTCCCCAAGCTGTCTTTTTAAAAATTTACTTTTAATTATCACATAGTAATTTTGCACATTTATTATGGGGTGCTGTGTGCTAACTTGATACATTTATACAACACACACAGTGACCAAATTAGAGTAATTAGCATTTCCATCTCCTTAAGCACTTATCATCTGTTTGTGTTTGCCAAAGCTGTCTTTATTTAACCTGATGCAGAGCTTGCCTGGGGCATCTGTCAGAAATATTCAGAGGCAAATGTTTATCATGTGACCCACATGAAGCTGGGAATAACACTTGGGTCAAACAACTTTTATTAGTGGAAGTAAGTGACAAAGAATATAGTTTATAGAATTAGGGGGGAAAGTCACCAAAACAAATAGCTACAACCAATGGCAATCACAAACCCTAAAATGAGAAGCTGGGATGTTAATAGACTCCAACGTGTTTATCTAGAAGGCTCCACACATTTGCAAGATTCAGCTTGCGTTCTTGCCCACAGGGTGTAACATGGCCCTAAATTCTCGCTTCTGTCCCACCATTAAACACCTCACAAGTAGAAGGTGAAGGCTGGAAAAAAATCGACTGATTCGCCATATGTTGAAGGAGTGTACCAACACATACATGCACACAGATATAGGTACACACACACACACACACACACACACACACACACACACACACACATATATGTGCATATACATACAAATACATATATAGTCTACATACATGTTCATATGCACATGTAAAGCATATATATGCATACACACATACACATGTGTGTATATACATGCACACACATGTAGCCCTTCAGTAAAGACTGACACTAAGTTGTTCAACATTTAAGGGAACCTCTGCATTTACTAGTGAAGAAACGTAGCTAACAAAGCAGAAGCATCAGTAGACATAGGTGACAAAGGTGGATAACAGAATGGATAGAATTGGTTCAGTGAAGTCACTAAAACAACCACAAATATTAACAATATACACCCTGGAGAGAGAAGAAATATGCGTCATCCTTGCAATCTTCTATATAAAAAAAGAAAGTATGGCTCATATACAGGAAAAATAAGTCAATAGAAACTGTCACAAAGGCCTGGAGAGATGGCTCAGAGGTTAAGAGCACTGGCTGTTCTTCCAGAGGTCCTGAGTTCAATCCCAGCAAGCACATGGTGGCTCACAACCATCCATAATGAGATCTGGTGCCCTTGTCTGGTGTGCAGACATACATGCAGGCAGAGTGTTGTATTCATAATAAATAATTAAATCTTTTTTAAAAAAGTAACTGTCACAAAGAAATCATAGACTTAAGGATAAATAAACGAAGATGAAATATGTTCAGTCAACTAAAAGAACTGATGTATAAAACACTCAATATGAAAAACATGCCTCACAATGCCAGCATTCATAAATAAATAAAAATAATAATAATCTATAGAATTGTAAATTCTACCATCACTGCAAACATGAAAAGAAAATTCTAACAACTCACTTAAGCAAATAGCAGGTTTGAGAGGTAGAAGAAGAAAGACAACATTTTAAAATAGCTCAACTGAAACGAACCAGTCTGAGGAACAGAAAAGAAACTAATTAATAAAAGTGCACAGAACCTGAGAGACCT